GACTTTCCAGGTACTGGAAGCAATGAATGGTTAGGGAATTGCTCTAATAGTTATTGCGCTGCATCCCAAACAAAAAAGGAAATTGGTGCCTAATAGTCTTGCTTCACATGTGAATTCTGAATGCAATGGTATTGTGTAATCTGGAAGTAGGGAAAATGTCCAGTGTCATTGCTGTACTTAATTCCAAACTGAAAATACTTGAGTAGAAGGTCTTAAGTGTTGGATTAAATAACATACACAGATATGATAAAAACTGAAGTCTACCAGTTAGTTAATTCACCCAGAAGACTTAAATCCCACCTTAAATAGTTTTTTTTTTTGCATTTTAAAAAGGTACAGCATCATTAACATAGTTAAAGCATATTAACATTAACAGTTTTCAAAATTTAAACAATCAAGTTCTAAAATATACAAGAGAGTCAAGGGCACAACAACAAAAATCAAAAGTATAAGCACAAGAAGCAGTTGGCCAGTTACTATACTATCGTATTTATACCACCTGTCTAGAGTCAGCCTTCTCTTTGTAGAGCCTGCTTTGGTTTGACTGAAGACGCAGTTATCCCTGCACCATAGCGCTTGGGCAGCAGAGGAGAAGTCTTAGTCACTTACCCTCAGAGGCTACCCTTTGATTAAAAGAGTACAGAAAAGAAAAGTCAAAATAGGTTCTCCATCAAACAGATCACAGTACCAGAGAGTTCAGTCAGCAGAAATATGACCTTTAGATTCATTATTCCAATTTTTAAATTATGTCATTGTTTCATAAGTTACAAGTTTGTTACAATCTGGAATTTTTACTTCGATACCCATCCCCAAATGATTCTCTTCACTACAGTGAAGCAACAAGACAGGCAGAAGACGTTTCATGGCAAATGCAAAAACACTGAGTTATCCAGTCTTAGTAGCTGACATCTTGGATTATCCATGTGGATAAAAAGGATTTATGTCGAGGGTTCCTGATGCCCTTGTTGCAACCGCAGCTCAAGTGTTGGGAAAGTGTCTCCCAGCATCAGCGACTGACAAGAACTGCACATATGATTTACCCAAAGAAACAACCACTTAACATTTTCACTTTAGAGGGAGGGCAAAGGGTAGAAGAAAAGGGAAGAAAGAGCAAGGGTTGAGGGGTTTAAAAGCTATCTTACCATTTAAGACAGTGCCTGAAACTTAGAGGCCGATCAACATTTGGATAGTAGGTTGGGGCACTCCAGGAAACACTGGAACTGTCTATTCCATGAACATAGTTGTGGGCTACACCAATGTTGCCCAGAGTGCCTCAAATGACATATTTCTGCCACTGCCCTGCTGGTCTCGTATAACAAGATAGATCAACTTACCATGAAGTCTGGACCAGGTGTTGGTTACGTTCACATTCTAATACCTGAAGGTACATAACGATTATCTGGAAGATATGGGTTACTGAGTTATTATCAAGAATCTCTAGAGCCAAGTATTTAATTCAGAGGGGATGTCCATGTAGCATCTGCTATTCTGTTCTAGATTTTAACATTCTCAAATATCCACCGAGAGAGTGCTTGTAAGATGCCAAATGTTTACCCGGGTAGTTTCTGCCTTCAATTACAAAAGAGGGAAAGAACAGGCTCCAAAAATGGCTGTGCACAGCCAAATCTGACCTTCCTCTTACTCCTCCTTCTGTGCTCAGTCATCCTATTCATCTAGAAGTCTTGCCTTCCGCTCAGTTTTCAAAATAGGTATGCTTTTCCTATGGAACTCAACAGTCCTCTTAGCTGCCACATGGGAGGAAACACTGCCAACTGGAAAAAAGTGGCACCAATCCACCACAAAACACCTCTATTGGAAGGGACTAAACCTAGCCAACGTTTTTTCCCCTCTTTTGCTTCTACAAAGTCCTACATAATAGGTTTAAAAGGTTCACAGCAGCATACAAAACAGTTTTTTGTGAACCACATGAAAAAAGATGGTGGATAAAACAAAATGATTACAGAAAATTCACAGGGATTAGTGGGTGAAGGAGTACACTCATTCCTGTGTTTGGTACCCCAGTAAATAAGAAGGCTCAGAAAGAATGGCAGTGGGCAGAGAAAATCTGAACAGAGCAAGGTATCTACACATTTTTAATCAGGGGGCACTTGATCTCAAATTTAAAGAGCATTTACACTACAATGAGCTGAAGAGGTCTGAAGTAGTAGCCCATTACAGCAAGACAGAGAGCAGATACCTGCAGGGCAAGGAAAAGGAGAACCCTTACACTACTTTAACCTTCTATTAGATTCAAACAGCCGTGCTGACCAGCTCCTATGAGGAGCAGAGTCGGCACACTTTGGGGAACAGCATTCCTGGGACTGAGAATTTCACACATCCCATCAGTAATGACGAATATTATAATCAGAGCTAGATTCTACAAAAGGGATATTCGAGAGCCTTAGTCAAAGAGGAGTTATTCATATTGCTTCAGAATTTAACACCAAAATTACCTGCTTATTCAACAATAAGTTGTTTTCATGCTATGACAAATTGAAGAATCCAAGTACAGTTAAGTCTAACCAGTTCTTAACATCTGCATCCATCTCCAATCTTCACTGACCAATGAGATACAAGACCAACTATTAAGACTCTCTTGAATGAGAAACAAGATAGCAAGATCACTGTAAACTAGCTTCACTGTGTTCAGTACTGTTGGAACAAGCAGCTTTTAACCAGTTTAATAGTCTACCCAGAACAAGCAGAGTGTGAAACGCACACAGTTTATAAGTTAGTTGAATATCGTACAAACCTTATGAGGGTGCTTTACATGAACGCAGAACCCCAGCTCCTTTAAAACTCTTCTCTCTGCCTTTATGATTTGGTTCTTCAAATTAACATAATCTTGATCCAGTAGTAGAGGTACAGGTTTTCTGTAAGACATTATTTCAGATTCCATCGAGTAAGAATGAACTGCCAATATTAAAAGACACCCAACAATCTTACTTGGACACATATGCAAGTTACTATATTTTGATGCAAACTAGCTAGTATTTACAACAGTACAAGCATTTTTCCAGTTAAGATTAACCAGATTCATGTTTTGGTTTTCATTCCCCAAACAAGGTTTTACCCCATGTTCCTTGAGTCATGATGCATCTGAACTCCCCCATAGGCACAGCAACAATTATGGCTAGCTAGGCTGCTAAATTCAGGCTCTCATGTTCAGTAGTCCCCACATTTAAACAACCGGCCATGAAGAAAGGGAACATTTTTCAGATTCTAAACTTACTTTTTCTCTCTTAGATGTCGAAGGCGATGGAATACGTTAATTACATCTCTTATGCGCCTCGGTGCTTCTTCAATTTTGGATGCCAGATGAACACAGGCCATTGACACATGCTGAAATATAAGTATTGCAACATACTGATGTTTTGCTCAAATCTGGAACTGATCGCCTCCAAGAGCTTTAGGAGGGATAACAAGAGAAAGTGGTGGTAAAAACAAGAAATATTCCAAATTTTAAGTTAAGTATTTGTTACAATGTAGATGTGTAAAACTGTGTTTAACTAAACAACATATCTATAGCTCGAAAGTTTCCTGTACACATAGTTCAACAACAGGGCATAATATATGCTCTCAAACATGAGAGAAATCAAATGCATAGTGCATTTTCTAAAAGAATCCTTACCTCCATGGAATGCTTCACAAAAGATTTTGTATAAAAGAAACGTTGAAACAGCACCTGCCCTGTAGCCATTGCCACCTAGAGAGAAAGGAAGAAATGGTAATCCAATATTAATATCCCCATACAAGGTTCTAGAGCAAGATGAATTACACTGCAACAAATTTGAGTCCCATAAAAACCATTAGAAATGCCTGACACAGCAACAAACAGCTCCCAGAGGGAGAAAAAAAAAGCGTATAACACCATAAACACCTAGAACTATAATGTGCAGTCTTAGACTAGACAATAGAAAAGTACCAAACAAAATATTTTATGGGGACACTCAAAAATAGTTATGAGAGTGGACACTACAGTCTAAATGCCCCGCAGTGCTCCACCATCTATGCAAACACTCCTACTTGTTTATTTTTGGTTTTATGTTAGTTGTGCAATATTAAAAGGCAACCACCAACCCAAAGCGAGTCATTTTAACCATGAGTCAGCACTAAATGTCAAGCATTACCACCTACCCACAAGCTCCCCAGCCAACCTTTGTGGTTTTACAATCACATAGCCATATTTAAAAAAGACTCCCTTGTTGCCATATTAAACACACTCATATGCAAGAAAAGATGGCTAGAGAAATTAAAACAGCTAAAATAAAGATTATTGGTAGCACAATTAGGCCAAAAAAAAAATATTTATTTTTTTTTTAAAACTGAAGGTCTCGTTAACCTTGTTTCAGCCATAGTGGCATTTTTGTAACCGCTCTTCCCTCCAACCATCATCGTAACATTGACTCTTTGTCCCGTTTTCTTTAATGGGAGGAATTGAAGCGCACCAGGGAAGTCAACTGGCGACACGTCATACGAGAAAGCAGTTCAGAAACCCCATTTGAAAGGCATTGCGAAATCATGTGCGTTACCACCCGCAGCAAAGAAAAAGCGTGAGGGGGGGCTCTCCTTTTAGAAACGAGCGAGACTTGGCCGATCTACCAGGAAGGGCCCTGGAGGGCTGAGCCAACCCAGGCCCTGGTTTTACCGGAAGAGATGGTTACATCATTCACTTCCTGTCTCAGCAGAGCCGGCCGGGACAAAGGGGGGGGGGGGAAGAGCCGGAATGCTGCCCGTAAAGGACACAACAGGGCCAGTTTCACACGCCTGGTTCCTTGGTAAATAAAAGGCCGGCGGCGTCTCGTGATCCCTGTTCCGCCCCCGCCATTGCAAACGCGGCTGCGGGGCCCGGGACCCAGCCCGTCTCCCCCGGGAGCTGCCGGGTCGGGCGTTACCTAGTTTCTAGGACGAAAGGGGGAGTTTGTATGAGTGACGCAGCGGCCATGGGGCACCAGCAGACGGCGAGGCCCTGCCCGGGAGAACAAAGCGCGACACTCCCAGGCAACGAAGGCCCAGCGCCCCCGGCTGCAGCGGGCCCGGAGCGGCTACGCAACCTCCTCCTCCTCCTCCGGCCCGCGCCGCCCCCGCCTGGGCCTCGTTCGCTCCCTCAGACCGGAAGCTGCTCCTCCCTGCCGAGCGTCTTTCACCCGCCGCGGGCCCGGCCCCGAAGGCCGGCTCACCTGCGGGAGCCGCAGCAGGATGCCGGCCGCCTGGATGAGCTCGCAGCCGGTGACGCGCAGCTGGGTCTCGGTGTCGGTGTCCAGGCCGCTGCCCATGGAGGGAGTGAAGAGCAGCGCGTCGTCGGGCAGCAGGCAGTTCTCCAGCGTGATCAGCACCCCCGAGTACAGCCGGTCCCCGATCAGCACCGCGCCGGGGCCCGGGGCGCCGCTCCCCGACGGGGCCGGCCCCGCCGCCTGAGGCCCGCCCGGGCCCCCCACTACCACGGCCGCCGCGCTGCTCGTCCCCGCCGCCATCTTGGGCCGCCGCCTCACCTCTCTCTCGCCTTCCCCCTCTCCAGCCGCCGGAGCCGGGCGGTGTCCCGCCCCTTTCCCCCTGCGCTCGCCTCCCATTGGCGGATGACAGCGAGGCGCCGCGCTCGGATTGGCCTGCCTGCCCCCGCCGTGACGCTGGTCCTGCGGCCTGATGCAAGCGGCGTGACGCAGCGGTTGGGAATTCGAAACAGGGTGGAGCGGGCGGAACTTCCGGCGTGCATCGCGCGCCTCCCTCGCCCCCTCCCCCACCCAGACAAAGCCTGGCTCGCCACCACCGACCAGGCCCGAGCCAGCCCTTCTCCACCCCCGCACACGCCGGGGGGTGGGGGGTTGAAAGACTCATTGAAACAGATGCTGGGGGTATGGACAGGGCCCATGAGAGAAAGCTAGAGCCCCCCCTTCCACTTACAGTTGGGGGGCCCTGGGACAATTGCCCTCCCCCCACATTTAACAGGAGCCCTAAGGGGTACTCCACCCACATTTTCAAGCTTTTCTCTGCGATGCTGAAGGGCAAGAAGCTTTGTTTCTTGACTCCAGCAGCCGCGGCTTTAAGTAAAACAAATCTCCCAAGGCTCACCCCCAAAATCTTGAATTGGCAGCATTGACCAGCCTCCCCACAAGTGTAGTTTTGTTATCTTGCACTGCTATGCCTTATAAGAGTTCAAGCAGGAATTATCTTGCACGGCAGCACTAGCACCTGCATTGAACAGACTCCAGCACACAGATTTTACTGGAAGATATATCTGAGTGTAAGCCTCCTTTTGCTTCAACTTTAGCTAGGATATTTATAATACGGTGGTGCTCCCCTGAAGACCAGAGTCTTGGAGGATCCAGGGTTTTAAAGCCTTTACACAGACAGAGGTCCCAGTTGCACTACAGCTTTTAAGTGCAAGGCCTGCTCTACACTAAAAAATTATATCTAGTTAGGTACATTGCTCAGGGCTGTGAAAAAATTCACACCTTGAGCAATTTACGTAGGTCCACCTAACCTCAAGTGTAGATTACAGCAGGGTTGATGGAAGAATTCCTCCATCCACCTAGTACCATTCTTGAAGAGTGGATTAACCAAATTGATGGGGAAAAAACCCTTCCACCAATTTAGGAAGGGTCCATGCTACAGTAGCGCATCTGTAGCGTAGATATGGGCTTAATCTCTGGTTCCCCTGACTCGGATACAAGTATAGTATAGACTGAACCAATGAGAGATTAGCAACTCTGTGGATACGTTTTAGGCAACACATCACATGTAAGCTTTCCCTACTTTAGACTGGCCAGTTTAATTTTTCAACTAATTTGAAAGACTGACCGCTACACTTGAATATAGTCTAGCTGTGCTGCACTCTTTTACATATTCTAGTTTAAAAAAAGCTAGATAACTCCACATTTTGTGGCATGAAGCTAGATGGCACAATACTTAAGAAGGCATGGTTTATACTCCTAACAAAATCTGAATTTCTGGTGATTTCACTAGCCCTTTTTCACTTTATTTTTTTTAAAAGATGCCTTCACATGCTTATTCTCACGGACTGACTACTTATTTTAGTAGAACTCTACTAGCTGCAGCACAAGCCTTACTAAAGCCTTTAAGATTTTCCTTTTTTCTGCTTTTTGGCAGGAACTTCCATAGTTATCTTATGCATCACATATTTAAGCCATAGCTTTGCAATATAACCTCCATTAACATTGAGTGCCACATAAATGTTTTTTTTTTACTTGCATCTATGTGGGATAGTTGTCAACATTTCAGGAAGCATTTAAAATGCATGTTATTGTTCTGTGACACCAGAAGTGACTATTCAGATATTTTCATAATACATAAAAAAACCTTTATTAGATTGTTACAGAACAAAAATGTTTACACAATGTTTTTACATAGAGTGACTTCTGCACAGTAGGGTTTATCCCTGTTAAGCTTAGATTGCAATTTTGACCAAAACCACTAAGGAAAAAGAACCGCCCTCTTGAGTTTACAAGCTAGCTGTCTAAGTCTTCCTTCAAGTACATGATCTTTTTTGTACTCTGGGGTGCAAACTTACTTTGCAATACAAGCCTCGGCTTAGAATAGGCAGCTACAATTGTAGGTTATGCCTGTCACTTCAATAATGGTGCACAATTCGTGAAAATATTCCTTCTGGTTCTTTTCCATCCCCAAGGGCATCAAGGAAGCCTTCTTGTCTCCTCCTTTGGGCCAAGGCAGCTAGGGACTTGAATGTCTTTGGCTCATAAATAGCCAG